GGGAGGAGGGAGGAGAGCTGCTCAGCCGGTCGCCCGCTGTTCTAAACCTCAGCCAGCTGGGTCATCTTGGTCCGGCTGAGGCTCCGGATATTGCGAAGCAGAGAGGCGAACCTCCCTTCTGTGCCTTGTTTAAATTGCTGATCCTCAGAATTGTGAGATATAATAATAATAATAATAATAATAATAAATTGTTATTTTAAGTGACTAGATTTTGGGACAGTTTTAACCTACTCTAACCAACTATTACTTTAATTCATAAATGCGATATACAGATTACATGAAATAAAGAAATTAAGTACATATGTTGTATTTTAAGACTAAGTCTAATAGGTTACTTGTGCAAAATTAAAGTGAGCTTAAGCACACATGTGTTTATATTTTTGAAATTAGTCATATATTTAATATTAAGATTTAGAACTTTTAAAAAGTCATTAGAATTGAAAAAATAGTGTTAATTAATCCACTACAGTATAATTAGCAAGAATAACACAGATAATTTAAGTTGCTGAAAAAAACCGAAGAGCCTTCTTATGTTTTATATCAATAGAAAAATATGATGCCAATAAAATGACCAAAAACAATAAAAAGATACAGTCAGCTCTATGTCTTGGACCCAAACAATCCAAAAGCATCTGTCAGGGGACCCACACAAAAGCCATATACTGATTTGTGCAAGAGTAAGAATTCACTAGGCTGTTTCCAGGAGACACAGATTCTTGGTTTCAGAGTTCCTGAGCTGTTCGCTTACTGTGCCAGAACAGCTCACTTCCCACAGCGTATGTTTTAGTATATCAGCAACTGAGGCCCGAAAGCGTGCTTGGAACTTCTTACTAATTAGGACATAAAGGATGGGGTTCAAGCAACTATTGAGGAATGCCAAGCCAGTGGAGAGGGGGATTCCGGCCTGCAGCACCTGGTGGAAATAGCTATTGTGGTGAATCGTGAGCTCCCAAATGCTAAACAGGTGATAAGGAGTCCAGCAAATCAAAAAGGCAATGACCACAGCCAGGATGGTCCAGAAGTGCTTACTGGAGATCAGGATGCTTCGCTTCTCCACCTTGAAGATGAGGCACAAGTAGCAAATGCTCATTGTTAGAAGAGGGAAGAGGTACCCAACAATAACTTTCACCCAGGTCAGAATATGATGCCTCATCAACGTGAGGTCAGGATCATACTCGTGGAAGTTGTTATAGCAAAGAGTGTGGTTATTGAACTCCAGAGTGTCCCGGAAAAACAGGGCGGGACCACCCATTAGTGAAGCCCAAAGCCAAACAACTATAATAACAATCAGAGAGTTCCTTAGGGTCTGGTACCCATGAGATAAGACAGGGTGGATCAAGTAGATATAGCGGTCCAGGCTTATCACCGTCAGGAAGAAAACACTGGCAAACATGTTCAACTGGGCAATGAAGGAATTGGCCTTGCACAACCAGATGCCAAAGGGCCAGTGGAAATTCATGGCCACATAGGAGATGTACAGGGGCAAGAAGAGAAGAAAAATGAAATCTGCGATGGCTAGATTGAGGAACCAGAGAGTGGTGACTGTCTTCTTCCACTTGAATCCTGTAAACCAAATGACAAGGGCATTTCCTGGAATGCCCAGAACAAATGCCAAACAGTATAACACGAGGGAGACCCAGTGGATGACTCCTAGGTGTGCTTTCTCCTCCAAATCAGTCTCTGGGGAGTAATATTCCAGGGCATAGGAGTAGTTCTCAAAGTCTTCAAATAATGTTTCCTCTAGATCTTCCATGACCTTGCTAAATGCAGAATGAAGAAATCTATGGAAGCAAATTTAAAAAGAAAGAAAACAATTTTTAAAAGAATGTTTAGTGAATGATATAGAACATAAGGATAAAAATATTTTATCTTAATAGATACTAATAACAATTTAGGACCAAAAGGGGGACATAACCACAGAAGTAGAGATTTTTTAAATGAGAGGAAGCTATGAAAAAAAATACTTATTTGAAATATTTGGCAAAATGTTTCCTAGAAAAAAATGTACTCTTCCAAAATGGACACAAGCAGAAACAAAACCTGAATAGACTTACAACCATTAAAGAAATATCGTATGTTAAAAAAGTGTTTTTCATCTTATGAACTAGTATGTTAAAAAAATGTTTTTCATCTTATGAACTATTTCATCTTATGAAATAGTATATTTCTTGGTAGGGCTTGTGATTAACACTCCAGGTGTCCAAGTCTCAGTGGACCTAAGTTTTGCTATAATTATTCTCAAAGCTGTGAGAGTTTATTTTTGTAAAGTATTCAGTAAGTGCTAAATTAAAATGATTGACTCTATAGGTACAATTCCTATGTTCATAATGCTTGTAGGGCTGACTAGAAAGAATCTAACATTCAACAAATATTTATTAAGTTCTTACCAGGCATTATTATTTTATGGAAGATACAAAAGAAAACAGATGAATACTTATGTGGTGATGACTTCAAAATCCTTATTTGTACCCTGACTTCTTAAGATCTAGACAGAGTTCCAATTGCTTCTTTGGCTCATCCACCTGGATGTCACGGGCAAGCACTGGAGACTTTGACCCACTGTTTTGCACCCATGGATGTTTTGATTCTAGGTTTATAAATTCAAATATGTTCATCAGAATTATATCAATATGGAAGGCTTTTCAACTACAAGATATATTTTGGAATGAACTTGACTATGACCACTTAATTTCTATATTAATATAGAGTGCAGTTAAGCTTTATTTAAATTTTTTATTTTCCTGAAATTGTTTTGAATTAATTCAAAGTAATTCTTTTCTACATTACAACAAAGATTTGATTTATTAATCAGTTTTATTTTATTCATTTATTTATTTATTATTTTTTTATTTTTTGCGGTACACAGGCCTCTCACTGTCGTGGCCTCTCCCCTTGCGGAGCACAGGCTCCGGACGCGCAGGCTCAGCAGCCATGGCTCACGGGCCCAGCTGCTCCACGGCATGTGGGATCCTCCCGGACCGGGGCACGAACCTGTGTCCCCTGCATCGGCAGGCGGACTCTCAACCACTGTGCCACCAGGGAAGCCCTTTAATTTTTTAACATCTTTATTGGAGTATAATTGCTTTACAGTGGTGTGTTAGTTTCTGTTGTATAACAAAGTGAATCAGCTATACATATACATATATCCCCATATCTTCTCCCTCTTGCGACTCCCTCCCACACTCCCTATCTCACCCCTATTTTGTTTATTTTTATCCATACCAAATGTTATCTATTATAATTTCATGCAAAGTAAGTTTTCTTTTGTGGCCTTTTTTTTCCCCCCCTGCTATCAAGTCCAGTTTCCTGCACTAAGAAGACTTGAATGTCAATTTTTCAACCAAAAATGTTTACTGGGTGTAAATATAGCTTCATCGATTTATTTTGTGTTATTTCTATCTGTAGTATTCAAAATCAAGTAGAAAAAAGACTAATAGTTATATTCATTTCATGGAGCTATAATCATTAATGGGGCAAATATGTAAGATTTGAGATTATAGTAGGGTTAGAACAAAGAGGTCAAAACATCTTGTGTTGCTCACAGCCAGCTCAGACTCAATTTGACCAACACTAAATTCATCATCCTACCTAAAATCATTTGAGGAATCTAGCAGAGCATAGTTAAAAACAAAAGCACTTCATTAGCATCCTCCCAACCCCAGACCTAGCTAGCTTCTCTTTATTTTTCAACATTCAGCTCAAATGCCACCTTTTCTTGGAAACATTTTCTGACATTACCCTCCCCCAGTTAATTATAATACATAATAACAACTATTATTACACACAATAGTCAATGCTATTGGGAATTTACTAGATGCCAGGCATGTATGATCTAATTTGACCCTTGAAAGAATCATATAAAGTGGATAAGTACTATTGTTATTTCCATCTCCAAGAAAAAATACTGAAGCTTCAAGAAGCTTAGTGACTTTCCCAGTTTCACGCAACCTATAATTGGAGAGTCAAGATCTAAATTCAAATCTGTTGAACCCAGATCCTGGGCTCTTAACCACTACGACATTCCCCTCTTCTGCCATACTTCTCTTATTGTACTTAATACACTATACTGTCATTGATTTCTCTTTAATTCCTGCCCTACCAAACTGTAAACTCCTTGAGAATGACTGTCATCTCTGTAACCCACAATGCCTAGTACAGGTCTTAACGTCTCACAGGTGCTCAACATGTGCTCAGTAAATAATTGGCTCTGCTATAAAGCCTGTTCAGAAGCAAATGTAATTTTAAAGTCTCAGGTGAGAGTTTGTGAGTTCACCCCTAAGTCACTCTCATTGCCAGAATCTCTCTGGCCTTGACCCGCAGTTCTATCCTCAAGATCTAGACTTGTTCCTTGTCACTGAGTCCTTTCCTTCATGTGTCCAAGACTGGCTTCTTTCTTGCTACCCTTTTTTTTCAGGTCTGGGACCTTACTCTGCCCTCTTCACTCCTTCTGGTAGCTGAACCCCCTCCGTGTCAAATCCTTTCCAGCCTAACCTCCAACTCCCTGTCTTGGTTTTCTGCCTGTATACTAAGACACCCTTACCTTCCTGGTGCCTATGACCTACTCTTTTAGGCTATGAGCAATTCTGAAGTCAAATGGCCCTAAATCACCTTACAAAACCCTAAGGAGTGAATAGATGGAACTTGATTCCCCAAACATAGAAAAGCCAGTGGAGGACTTCTAATTACACAAAACCACTATCCTCAGCAAGCCAGGAGCTTACAAAGTCATTGCTGACTGTGCTGGGCCAGAATGGTCGCAGGGCCTGCTGAAGGATACCAACCACCCCTCATCCCATTTCTCTTGGGGCAGGGGGAGGTACCTTGAGGATGAGTGACTTTTCCGAACAGAATCCCTTCAAACAGAAACCCTTATTCCAGAGAAATTCCTAATCTTCCAGAAAGCAGATGCGTAGGTTAGATGCAATGACCAGTTCAGACTTGGAGAAAGATCTTCAAGAGGAGCTGAATACTGTGTGGAGAAAAGGGAACCCTCCTGCACTGTTGGTGGGAATGTAAATTGATGCAGCCACTATGGAGAACAGTAAGGAGGTTCCTTAAAAAACTAAAAATAGAACTACCGTATGACCCAGCAATCCCACTACTGGGCATATACCCAGAGAAAACCACAGTTCAAAAAGACACATGCACCCCAATGTTCACTGCAGCACTATTTACAATAGCCAGGACATGGAAACAACCTAAATGCCCATCGACAGAAGAATGGATAAAGAAGATGTGGTACATATATACAATGGAATATTACTCAGCCATAAAAAGGAACAAAGTTGGGTCATTTGTAGAGACGTGGATGGACTTAGAGACTGTCATACAGAGTGAAGTAAGAAAGAGAAAAACAAATATCGTGTATTAATACATATATGTGGAATCTAGAAAAATGGTACAGATGAACTGGTTTGCAGGGCAGAAACAGAGACACAGAAGTAGAGAACAAACATATGGACACCAAGGGGGGAAAGCAGCGGG